GCTGAGGGTGCACTCAATCCCACTGTCCATGTCACTGACAAAGATGTTAAACAGCGCCGGTCCCAATACTGACCCCTGAGGAATGCCACTCGTCACTGCTCTCCACTTGGACATTGAGCTGTTGACCACAAGTCTTTGAGTGCGACAATCCAGCCAATTCCTTACCTACTGAGTGGTCCATCCGTCATATCCATGTCTCTCTCATTTAGAGACAAGGATGTCATGCAGGACAGTGTCAAATGCTTTGCAGAAATTCAGGTAGACGACATCAGTTGCTCTTCCCTTATCCACCAATGCTGTAACCCCATCGTAAAAGGTCACCAAATTTGTCAGGCATGATTTGCCCTTAGTGAAGCCAGGTTGACTGTCACCAGTCAACTCCTGCTGCTCGGACAATTTCTTTGTGTTCTTCCCAGGCTACCTGTCCTTGCTTCCACCCTGTGGTAGGCTTCCTTTCTGTGTTTGAGTTTGTCTGGGAGCTCCTTGTTCATCCATGCAGATCTCCTGGTGTTTTTGCCTGACTTCCTCTTTGCTGGGGTGCATCACTCCTGAACGTGGAGGAGGTGACCCTTGAATATTAACCAGCTTTCTCGGGCCCCTCTTCCCTCCAGGGCTGTATCCCATGGTACTCTACCAAGCAGATCCCTGAATAGGCCAAAGTCTGCTCTCCTGAAGTCCAGGGTAGCGAGCTTCCTGTATGCCCTCCTCCCTGCCCTAAGGAACTTGAACTCCACCATTTCATGGTCACTGCAGCCAAGGCTGCTCTTGAGCTTCACATTCCCCACCAGCCCCTCCTTGTTGGTGAGAACAAGGTCCAGCATAGCACCTCTCCTCGTTGGCTCCTCTATCACTCGGAGAAGAAATTTCTCATCAATGCATTCCAGGAACCTCCTGGATTGCTTATGCCCTGCCATGTTGTCCATCCAACAGATATTGGGGTGGTTGAAGTCCCCCATGAGGACCAGGGCTTGTGAATGTGAGGCTGCTCCTATCTGTCTATAGAGAGCCTCATCCACTCGGTCTTCCTGGTCGAGTGGCCTGTAGCAGACCCCCACTATAATGTCACCTGTCCCTGCCCTCCCTTTGATCCTGACCCATAGGCCCTTGGTCGGCTCCTCATCCATCCTCAGGTGGAGCTCCATGCACTGGTCACTGACATAGAAGGTGACACCCCCTCCTCGTCTCCCCTGCCCGTCCTTCCTAAAGAGCCTGTATCCTTCCATTCCAACACTCCAGTCATAGGAGCCATCCCACCATATCTGCCTGATGCCAATAAGATCATAGCCTTGCAGGCATGCGCGCGTCTCTGACTCCTGTTGTTTATTCCCCATGGTACATGGTTTTGCATAGAGGCATTTAAGCTGGGCCCCCGATGAAGCTGATTTACTGGCTGGAGTGGCTGGAATTCTTTGCGCTGCTCTTCTGGTGCTCTCCTGCTGACCTGTGATGCCTCTCCAGGCTCTGGGCATCTATTGCTCGCATCAGTCTGGTAGGAGTGGGATGGATTGAGGTTCCCCTCCCCCTGGGGGATGTTTCTAAGTAAAGGCATTCTTTTAAAGTGGAAGATTAAACTACAGTTCCTGTTCAGAAAAAAAAAAAATCCTAATGTATCTGGTTCTCAGGTTTATTGCTGTTGTTTTTAAGCATCTTGGGTTTTTTAGAGGAGAAGAAAATATTTGGACTGCCTTTGTTCATTCACATGACTTTAAACCTAATCTGCTCCTGTTCTTAACTGGCCTAGACATAAACCAGGAATGACTGGAAAACTTCATGTGAGTGTGAGTGAGGCAGGCCCCAAACTGATCAGAGGAGGTGTGTTAGTATGGGTGCAGGGCTGAGGAGAACTGGCTCGTCTTAGACAGGTGTACTGGCTTGTTACTATTATGGCGTGCCTCTGGTTCAGATGTGGTGAATAGTGTGTCAGGAAGATCTTGGCTCTGTCTTTACTTATCCACACAAAAATATGCTATGAGATAGCTGCAGGGTTCTGGAGACATCTGAAATTTTTATGTGATGTGGAGACTGCTTTTCATTCCACTGTATTTTGGTGGTCTCGGAGCCTCATAAAGAAAAGTTCTAGAAGCTAGTTTAGTTTGTCTTTGGAGGAATAGTAATTTTGTAGAACTTACCTGTATTGACATTTTGATAGCAGATTTGTTTTGTTTTGATATCAGTGGTGGTTTTTATCTGTCAGTTTGGGTGCAATCCTAGAGATACTTCTTCTCTTTAACCTAGATTTGCAAAATCCGGTGTGCCTCTGCATTAAACTTGCGGACTCACTTCCTTGGATTCAAACACAAAACGGTAAGATCAGTCCTTGAATGCACCTGTTGTCAGATTTTACAGATTTATTTAGCAATAGAATATGGGTTTGGGATCTATTTTTTAATGTGGTGTTAAAATGTGCAATTTCAGATATTTAGCTAGTTTTGTTGCTTACTATTTTGTTTACTGCAATAAAGTAGGACATAATTTTGTACATTAGTCCTATCAGAAAATGTTGTTACAACTTGGTGTCTCATATTCTGGATTAGTAAAGAAAATACATGAGAATACGTGGCTGTTATTAAATGCAGAATGGAATTATTTAAATCACAGACAATCTAGGAAAAAAGATGTATGTTTCTTTCAAGTTTCATGTAATTATCTATTCACCTGAGAGAATCTGTGGTGTTGGGTTAATCTAACTTATTTTATAAATAATAAAATGTTTGCATTGTTATTTTTTGAATCTTAAGTGTATGTCTTTCCTCTTTGTTGGTTGGTGTCTTGGTAAGTTAGGTTGAAGAAGCACTGAAAGCTCATGGCATTGGTAAGTGCAAGATTTTTTACTTCTTACTCTGTTCTATACATGCACCTTTCTCCCCACTCCAACATAGTTGCTTATGAAACAAACAAGAAAAAGACTTTGTCAAGACTTGTGCTTTAAGACCTGTCTTGTGTTCTTTAAGGACATAACTGTCTAATCCTACAGAAATCAATCAATAATATGAGCAAGCGGTATGCAAAGTTTATTAGAAAGTGCTAGCAACAATACTACAAGTCACCTACATGAAAGTTTTGAGAAACCCTAAAGAATTCAAGACCTTGGAGACCTTTAAGATTTAAAATATATTTTAAAAACCTATACTTTTTAAAGCATGTAGAAATACTTTTTTCTGTATATACTTTATATTTATTTTTTAAAAGAGCTTATTAAAAATATCTTAATTAGCTGAAGCAAAGTACTTTTAATAGGTTTAATATATCATTAAACCTTCCCCAGGTCTTTGTGAACTGGTCTAGTTCCAGAAGGAATGAAAGTCTAACTATATTCATAATTGTTTTCCTGCTTCCATTTCATGATGCACCAAAATGTATTTACAGGTTTCTACAGTGCACTGCTCCTAGAGTTTGGTTTGAAAGTTGTGGCCCAAGTTATACATAGTCATTGCACCTACCTAATCTGGGAATTTTTGTATGGACTGTAAAGGAAATTTAAGTGATTAAATATTTACCAGCTGGCTGCTGCTGAAATATGGGTGCCCTGCAATGGTTAGAGGACTCAGCAGACAGTCATTACATCTTTTTATTTTTATTTTTTTTAAAGGGATTGGTTGGGCACTAAAATACTTGATGAGTTCTAGTGACCTGAATATGATTCATGTTATCAGAGTCTTTGTAGGTTTATCTTCATAACATTTTATTTCTTTTCTTTTACTCTTCTGATCTTTTCATTAAGATAATTTCAGAAGGTTGGTGGTAATGCAGGTGGTATTATTAAGTGACGTCTAGTTGGCAGGAATGAGCTAGCAGCTTCATCAGTTGTTAACACAATGTAGTTCGTAACTTAAATACTCAAGAAGAGTTTTCATGAAGATTATCTCTGTAATCAAAGCATATCTGACTCTTTCTGATGCAGTAGTATAGGTTGAAGCCTTCTGACTCCCACCTTCTATTTAGGGTATATTGTAAGCCTTATGTTCAACTTCTTAGCAATATCTGATATTTTAGTAAGAGATAACTTGCAACAGGAGGGTAACAGGGTTGAGGGGCATTTAAGAGATGAAAAAATTCAAATTGTCCTTAGCTGGTGTAGTTTCAGGCACTGCTAGTGATTTATTTATTTATTTCCATGTAGTGAAATGCTGAGCTTTCTGAATTTCTGAAATCCTATTCTTGGTGTTTTCTTATAGCGAGCGCATTAAGCCCCTATTCAAGGGATAGCAACTTGTTTCCTTTGCGTGCTTGTCATTCCACTCCCAAACACACAGAATCTCATCTCATATGGATGTCTCTCTTTCTCCAGGTTCCTCAATGGCAGATAATGTTATGTGGTCATCTCTGTCTTACCTTTCTTAAGGTTCTGCAGCCCCAGCCTTATCACGTGCCATATGTGGATGGAAAAAAATATTTGACTGGGGAGTGGACAACTGCAGACCTTTTGAAAAAGACGACAGGGTTTATGGGCTGAGTGAAGTGCCCTGGCAGGCAGCATGTGGGGCAGCAGTTTAAGCACCTCAGGTTCAGTGGATATAAACTGAATTGCTGTGATGTATTGGATTAAAGTAGCCCTGAAATTTATGAAACGAAGCTTTGTTCATTGTAGAATAAAAGATATTTGCACTGTAGTGAATCAGTCTAGGCTTTTACCTTGGTCTAGGTTGTCTTCTATATAAACTAAATTACAGCCATAATTACTTACAATTTAAGCGACTGTTTAATAATTTAATTTTGTGATGTGTGTTTGAACCCATGTTGTATGCTAACTGGTGGCTTGATGGGTGGTCTTCTCTGCCTGCTTCGTTGAATTGCCTGACATTAAATAACTTCGTTATTGTTTGGTGTAAATGTGTTTTGTCCATTTTTTTCCAAAAAAATCTCATAGCACATTCAAAACTAAACATAGCTTATTTTTCTCATGTCAACAAAAGGTCAAAGAGTTTTCTGTAAAAAAAAAATCCATTATTGTACCAAATTGGTTTCTGTACTTACAATTTTATTTCCACTTCTGGTTTGTTTTTTATTTAGTTAAAACAGCAAGTGGCTCAGGGGAGCAAGTGAGAACACCTGTAAAACTTCCTGATTATGGTAAGACTGTTTAATGCAAAAAAAAAAAAGGGAAAAAATAAAATGTTTTGAGGTACAGTATTACAAGTGATGTCTAGACCTTAGCAGGTCGTTGGGAATTCATTTCTGTTCATTGTATTTTCCACCTGCAGTAATATTTTGTAATAATACTTAAAACAATATTTGCAAACAAAATGCTATAAAAAGGGTAAAAATAGGATTGGGGAGGGATAATGTTTCTCAATAACTGACTTAATTTGTGATGTGGGGCCATGTATGAGCAGGGATTCGCTTGAATGTGAATTTCTCAGCATATTTTCTCTAGGCCAAAGGTTAAACTCAGGAGTTTGTTTCATTTTGGAGGTTTTTTTTGATGTGACTTGAGACCATGAAGATTGATTGATAGATGGATGATGTGGGACTATGTAAAATTGACTTTATCTTTCAGTGCAAACCGAGTCAGAGAAGTTTCATGGACAGACCTTGGAAGAACAGCTTAATACGTGTAAAGATTCAGAACCTGCACTTGGTGAGGGCTTTTAATACTGTAATTGCTTGTGTGATGTTTACCTTTAAAGAGTATGATTAATTTTTTTTTAAAATTGTAAAATTAGATAATGTGTAATAAAATCTTACTATGTTTACACGGAGTACCCAATAGTATGGTATGAAAAATGACTGGTCTTAGTTAAAAAATCATTGGATTTGGCCTGGAATATTTTTGATTAGGGTAGGTACCACATGTTGAGAATATTCTCTAGAAACAATCTAAGATGATATGACAGAAGTTAACTTTGACTTAAATGATTGTTACTGTTCTTTGCAGTTTAACTGGCCATCCTGTGGAGGGAAGGGAGAGTGGAGTGGACAGGAAAGTAACTACAAGGGCATATATTAAAATACATTCCCTTCTAAATAGTTACAAAAGAATTGTTGCTATTATTTTTTTTTAGATGATTTAAAAAAAATAATTGTCAAGTCCTATGTGGTAAACATAAAACATCTTAAAAAAATTCAGTTTTGTACCTTTGGTGTTAAGGGAGACACTCAAAAGACAAAATAACTGATGGTTCTAAAAGTCTTGAGTCATGTGTTTGGCATGCAGTAGTAATTATTTCCTTTAATGTCTCTTTTGTAACTAGCACTGATTATTTGTTTCAGCAAACATCAAATTTCCTAATTTTTTTTTTTTATCAATACAGGGCTTAATTATATAATTGAATACAGATCGAAAGACAATTTCCCTTTTCTCTATGAATGTCAGCTGTGCAACTGTAAAACAGGACTGAGTAACATGTTTATGCATGTTTGTGGTTCCAAGCATAGACTGGCATACCTGGTAAGTTTTTAGAGTAAAGGGGTTTGTTTGTCTGGGTTTTTTTCTTTTTTAATGTAATGATTTAAGTGGAGAATTTGCTAGCCATGTTACAATTAAAAAAAAATAAAATTATGGTGTTACATAAGCTTTTGTGAAAATGTGTGTGTTTGTACTGCAACCATGCAACTGTGATAAATGGATTTAAAATTCTTCTCACCAATAAGGTGTATGCCTGTCCATTGCTGACACTGAGTTTTTAGTTTATTCTGTTTTGGTTGACCAGTAATGCCAAAAATGAAATCTACAGCTAAAATTGACTAGAAGCAGGTTTTTGATTAAATTTTATATTATCTTAAAGAATTGGATCAATGAAGAAATTGCTCTGTCTTTCAGAAGCTTTAGATTAAAAGGAACATATTTATAAATGAACATGATATGTATTGGATAGAGGCTGTGACTTGGATTCAGGAAAAAAAAAAACAAAACCAGTTTTATTCCCAGTTTTGTGGCTGGACAAGCCATGTAAGTTCCGTGCCTGTTTTATGGAAATTTGCAAGGCTCATGTTGGCCCACAAATGTTTAAATACATTTTTTTCTTTCAGTATGTTTAGAGAAATGAGGCTGTCCAGTCTTTGAATGTTTGCCTGAATTTGTTTGTTTAGGGTGGGCTTTAACAAAACTGAGAAAGCAATATTCTGAAAAGTATTTTGATACTTTACATAAAATACCTGCTCAAAGTTGGTACTATATCCTATGTATCTTAAAGTCATAGAAAGTTGTTGAATTGCTGTAGCGTTTTGAGGCAGTTTTAGAGCTAGTGTTGTTATTGACTGTACTGCGATGGATCCGCAATGATGTCCTTTGTAAACATCATGCTGTTTCTGGTCATTAATTCAGATATATATGCTGAGTTTTGATGTTCTCAGCTCTTGTATTTCTTGTCTACTTTGAACTGTTTCCTGCAATTCTGAACCTTATGTTTGTTAACTGCATCTCTGCTATATTCTTAAATACTATAAAATATAATAATTCAAAAACGATAGCTTTTAAGTCATGCATCTGGGGTGGATTAACCCTAGGCAGTGGAAAAGGCAGGAGACTAAATGGCTGGAATTTGCTCTGCTGAAAAGGAGCTGGGGGTCCTGGTAGATAACAAGCTAAAGATAAGTAGTGTACCTTGGCATCAATGAAGGTGAAGAGCAAGCTGAGCTATACTAACAAAGATATAGCCAGTAGATCAAAGGAAGTGATTATTTCCCTGTTCTTGATACTTGTTAGGCCATATGTAGAATATTGTGTCCATTTTTGTGTTACTGCAGACAAGAAAGGTATTGATTAAATTGAGCAAGTCCAGTGGAGAGCTGCCAAGATGGTCAGGGGGCTGAAGCACTTGTGCTGTGAGGAGAGCCTGAAGTAATTGGGCTTGTTCAGGCTGGAGAAGAAAAAGTGTCAGGGGATGTAATAGTAGCCCTTCAATACCTCAGGGGAGGTTATTAAGGAGGCAGAATCAAGCCCTTTATGGAGTTATATATATATGGCAGGAACATAAATTCAAACAGGTGAGTTTTCTACTTGACATAAGAAAGAAATTTTTCACTGTGAGGGCAGTCAAGCATTGGAGCAGGTTGCCCAGAGAGATGGGGGAATCCCTGTATTCAGTGGTTTTTAAGACCCAAGTGTACAAAGCCCTGTGCAACCAGTTCAGCCTTCAGTGTCATCAACTCTGTTTTGAGCAGAGGATTTGGCTTCTGTCCCCTAAATTATTCTGTGATTCTATACATAATCATTTTAGTAAGTTCTGCTATGTATACGTAAAAGTTGATTTATCTCCCATGATTATTAGCTGTGCTAGATCTGGAAAGAGTTGTGTAGGATAAAGTGTGAATTCTGGATTTGCGTTTCCTTATTTCCTAGAAACAACATTATCCTGAGATAGCAGAATCTGATGAAGTTAAGGGTAAAGGCTCTGAACTGAACAGAAAAGTTAGGCAAGTTGCATCAACAATTGAGAAGAAAGAAGGAAGAAAACAAATAAAGGTACATTTCTTTAAGAATTCCAGAAGTTTTATATTTATTAAAAAAGCAAAGAAAGTAATTTCTGTTATGGTGGGCAGATCTGTTTTGGATGGTAGGAAAATCTTGCTTTTTAAATCTTTATTACAAGTGCTTTTTGTTGTCCTAATAATTCTTCCAGGATTATTCTGGATGCCATTTCCCATTGGTCACTCCCGTCATAAGTATTTCTCTTGCTTGAAATAATACTCATGCTACCTGAGTCTACAGAAATATGACTCCAGAGTGCACAAATAACACTAACTATCTGTATTAATATTTAATAGATTCCCAGCTGGTGGTGTATATGTGTAAAATAACTTTTTTCATTGTTGCTAGGAAACTACCTTTATGACTTTTCTGAATTAGTTTCTGCTTTGTTAGCACCTTCTGGCAATTCTCAGAGGAGCCAGGTAAAAATTCTGGTAGTACAGAGGGAAGTGTGGGAATTTGCAGGTGGATATGAGGTTATCAGCAATGCCATGGGATCACAGGAGCACCATAAGCTTAAATTCTTGGGGAACTGCAACCTTAGAAGCATGTTCTTATGAAGATATCTTCATATTGCTTTCTGTTGATGTTTACATCACAGTAGTATTTAGAAATATTTACCACCTTTATCTGGGCAGGATATTGGTTGAGTTTCTTCTTGTGGTGTACCTTACCACTGTGATTCACGACAAGCTTACTCAGGTGCTTAGTGTTCTTTATGATGTACATCAAATTTGTTTTGTCCATCAGTTTCAATGTCTGTCAACAAGCTGCTTGTTAAGTAGTGTCTCTTGACCAGATCTCTTGTTAATGCTACTTAATGTGCATAGGCTATGTCTCTTTTCAAAGTGGAGTTTACAATGTTATTGTGTTTAAGCTCGCTATGTCCTGCCCATCTGAAAAAAGACTCATGTTTCTTTCAGTGTGATGCCATCACAGCTAGGCTCAAGGATGAGAGCCTGTACTGATCCTACCCTTTTTTTGATTAAAAAAAGTATGGAAATATTGGAAGATCAAGTCTTTCTTCTAGAACAAATGCTCTAGAAGGGAGAGATTTCAGATCATCTAATTCAGTCTGTCTGCATATCCTTCATTTTCAACCTCTGCTTAAAGAGAAAAACTGACTTTTGGCAGCAACTTTTTCTTTTGACCTACTTAATTCAAATTTCTTCTTGACTCAGGACCGTATATTTTACTTGACATGTATGTTCATGGATATAGAAATAATTAATTCCATCTTTATTTTGTAGACTGCTTTTTTTTTTTCTAGGAAGTTTCACTACATCCATAGCAAATCCATCCTTGATTTAAGGAACTTTTAAATAGAGTGTGCATAACCTCATTTAATTTTACTGCTATATTTTCTGAAACCAGCTATTTTTTTTTTTTTAGGTCTAACAAAAATTTAATTGTGGTAAATAAGTGTCCAGGTAGCTCACTTACTGACTTTTTGAATATCCATTGAGGGATTTGCACACATGTGTTTAACACTACTGGTAATATATCCTTAAAAAAATAAATATTTAACTCTGATGAAATACCTATAGAATAATTTTATCCACAGAATAGCTAACATAAATGGGTTTTATTTTTAGGTTGTTACAGATGCTCCAATAATGAGGAAGAGATGTCAAGAATGTAAGTGTGCTCAGTGGGATGTAAATTGTACATTTCTAATTTGGGTGTACTCCCTTTGATCTAAATCAGTTAGATTTAAGGGCAAATTGAAAGATTTGGTCAGTAAGTGTAGTGTGTGCTTATGTGCTAAGCTGCATTTTGTACGGTTTATATTGAAAATTTGATGGATGAACAAGTTCTTCCATGTGCAACATAGCTAGAGAGACCTGGTTTATATGGCTTTGTTCTCTGTTCCTCTTTCCATCCCAGTCCCCTTGGCTTCCCAGGATCCTTTACCTATGATTTATTTTTATCTGTTAACTGCTGTAGTCTTTGCAGCACCAACTACTCACGAGTATTTTGGTGAACTGGGCAAAAGGAGGAGGTTGGAGCTCTGTGCATGTATTTAATTTGCAGTCCAGAAAGCCAGACAGAATTCTTAAAGCCCAGCTACAGTTCTTATCTGTGGAAGAAAACTTTCTGTTTTACTAGCCATTGATACTCACAAAATTGTAGGAACATGGTATTTGTGAGACTTCTCCACTCAGTTTAATCTTTCAATATTCATTGTAGTACAATGTCATCGAGATGGACAGACAGTACAATTGCATGCCACTTTAGGAAATGGCTAAAAATTGCTATGAGACCCTCATTCTCAGACCTGCATGAAAAATAAAGATTTGATTTAAACCTAATGTACTTAATTTAAATGTATATTAGTATGTAAATGGTGTCTTAAAATAGCTCAATGGAAGTAATGAGATTATTTCTATAATGATCTAGATTAGCAGTGTCATACTCTGAAGAGGAAAGATACCCATTTTGAATCTAGGAAGGTGTTTTGAAATAAGTTGAATCCTATTCAAATTATGCTTCTGGACTGTAACCTGTTGGTTAATGTGTCTAATTTTGCACATGGCTATGTGGCATTCTACTATATTTATAGTATTTACATCTTTTAAGAAATTTATGTATGTAATTATAACCAGGGTATAAAATATTTAAAACTTTGTTATTAATTTGTAGTTCATATTTAATATGCTGTCACATAATAATGCTTATAAAATTATTCTTCATGTTTCTAACTAATAGTGCACAGAAACAGAGCTAGTTGAAATTGAAGTACAGTTTTAGAACCCTCCTATATCAAGATAATGTCCATTGTGCTACATTTCAAGCATGTTTGTTTAGATCCTAATGCAGATGACAGCCCTTCAAAAGCTAAAGTTCAGCATGTGGATACGTCACTTAGTAATGAAGAAAAAACAGATTGTAAAAATAAGGATGGAAAAATGTCAGACCCTATTCAAGGCAAGAGAAAAATATTTTTTTTATCATTTTTTTTTAACTTTCATCAGTGCATGAACTATTTACTCTATATGTGCCTGTTTATAGCTTCTATAGTTATGTTCTGCTATTGAAGGTGAATTTGCGCGGTGTGTGGATGGGTTTGGGGTCTGTGGCAGAGGAAAGAATAATCCCAGTGTTTGCGAAGAAAACAGTCCAGTTTTACTTAATGTCACTGGATACTTTAGAACAGAAACAAGACAAGATTCATAATTAGAAATTTTTACTAGGTGTATTTTTGGGGGAAGGGGCACAGACTTTTTTGGGCATATAAGCTGTTCTTCAGTGTCAGGAAAAAAAAAATGGGAACAGCTGCATGCCAGACTGTTGGTTTAGAGCACAAGAAGAATAAAAAGAAAATAGATTGGACAGATTTTTTTGTTTTAAATGACATCTAAAATATTGGACTAATGCTTATTTTCTTGAAAACAAAACCAGAATTAAATATAAAAATCAGTGAACACCATGTAACTGAAGAAACATCAGAAGTTGCTGCTTGGTTGTAGACTTAATGTCAAAGGTGAGATTAGGATTTGGTCTAAATGCATTATAATTATTCTCATTCAGAATATTTCTGATCAGAAATAGAAACTTGTGCTTCATGGCTGAACCAAATCTTTGATTTTTATGTGCATTTTTTATTTTATTTCTTCACAGGATACCTTCCTTATACCTTCAAGTTTTATTGGTGTTATCTTTTAAAAAAATATAAAGCAAAGAATACTTTAAAATATTGGAAAACCATTACTAAATATACTGGCTTTATTGTTTTAGATGAAAAGAATGTTCAAGAGGAGCAGGAAAAAAGTCAGAAAGAACAGGCAAAACCAGATGAGAAGGATGAATCTAAAAAGACTATTGAAAGCAGCAAAGGCAACAAGACTGAAGAAGGCAGCAAAGGCAACAACTCAGAAAAGTAAAACAAACAAACAAAACCCACCGCCCCCAAAACCCTTTAAATTTACTCAGAGGAAAGCGTTGTAGATGATAACTGTTTACATTGGATTTGAACAGAGTATGCTGTCAGGAAGAAAGGCATGCTATAATACTAAAATGCTTGTCTTCTGAAATTGTGCTCAGCTGTAAACTCCTCTCATCAACAGAAAACCTGGTATATGTAAAGTGACTTCAGATTTTGGTCTAGATACAACTAGTTTTTATATTTAACTGTGTTATCTTTAAGGCATAGTCCTCATGTATTACTAGTTCAAAAAGAATGTTCCCTCGTGGTTTAAAAAACCCTCTGTTATGGCTTTATGTCAGATAAGTAGGGTGGTATACGAACTGATTTTTAGAAGGAGAATATAATCAGTAAATAGCTGTAACAATTGGGGTTCATCTTTACAAAAGATTTCATGGAGGAACAATAAGAAGTATTGTGTGTGGTTCTAAAATGGTGAAACTGTGCTTGCTGTTTGTAAACATCTTTATTAATAACAGTACTGTGAATTTAGTTTGAACTATCAGCCTTTGTGTGAGGGTGATATCTCCAACATCAGTCATCTTTGTGCAACACCAGGGACCACAGGAAAGCATTCGATAAGGGATATACATGCATCAACCCAAACATAAGACTTTTGTTCCAACAATTAGTTCTTTGGTTTTGCTCTAATGACATTCTCTTGGAATGTTTCTTAACTTTAAACCAGTAGTATCTCTCCCAGACATGGAGGGCTAGCACCTTTTGGTTGTTTACTGTTACCACTAAAAGGAGAAATTTTCTTGTTCCTGAAGTATCTTTTTGTAGGACTTTTGCCTCTATGGGGTAACCACTAAGGAAAAGGATTAACTGAAACCAGATTCAAGTCCAGGTTTATGAATCTTTGTGTTCATTTGTCTGGCTTTCAAATAACTGTAACAGTTCTTAATCTGGAGAGTGAACTAGTTTGTGAAAACATCAAAAATAGGGAACTAATAAAAGCTCAGATATCCACATCTGGAAATGCTGCTGTCTATTTTTCCCCAACACTGATCCTCATTGTGCAGTCTTGTACTGTAAATTTTAAGTAAAGAATCCTTTGGAAAATCACTTAATGTTGTTCTTTTAATCCGGTCGTTCAGATAGATCCTGGGTAACTGAGAAGCCAGGTGTTTCAACGAGAGATTGATTTGGAAGTTGGTTACTAAATTAGGACTTCAGATTGTTCCTTTACTGTTTATTTTTGTGAGACTTCTGAGAGATGTGAACTCAATATATAGTGTCTTAAAAGGAATAAGATCAGAGTCTCATTGACAGCAAGCAGTCAAATGATGTTTCCACTTAAAAGTTCTGCAGTATTGATCTGAGAATTTCTATCACTCCTAATTTCTTTGTAGTGAAGTTCTGCACAGACAGTCATCTGAAGATGTAAATTATTTTGAGTTCATTAAAGGTATCATCTGCTTTTACTACACTTTTGATTCCTAAGAAAGATTTCAAGAAAGAGGAGAGCTTAGGCTTTATATGGTTTTGGTTAATTTGAAAAAAACAACCACTCTCAGCCCTGGTTCCTGGGCTTGCAAAGGGATGGAATGCATCTATAGTAGCTGCAGTTGCAGAACAGTGCAAATATGGGTTAGTAACTTGTAGCCATATGAATCTTTGTATGCCCAGTATCTCTGTGGCTACATTGTAAAATACTTCTTTTTATAGCTGAATTTTGTAAAGGCAAGTTTGTGAAGCGCTGATAGAAATCATACTGTAATTAGGGGTCTTGTCTTTTTGCAGTGCATACAAAAAGCTTACAGCTTTTACTAACAATGTCAAACATTTTCTTAATTTTGGGTTTTAGAACTTACGTGCTAGCTAATCACGCTAAAAAACCCCTCATAAATAATTTTTACGATGTTATCTGGGACCACTGAGATTTCTGCAAGGAAATAATGTGACCTTTCAGAGTGTGTCAGAACTACTGTAGTAGTAGTGTGTCAAGAATTTAAACTGATTATCAGTTATTGACTGGCTATGCATTTTTGATAGAGCAACCAACTGTATACTGTTTTATTTATTTATTTATTCTATCTTAAGGTGTGACACCAATAAACAATCACAGGAAGAAAGCGAGGAAGTTGAGGTGAATATTTTTCTATTAATGGGTTGCTCCAGTTTACAAATAGTTGGGGAAATAATTACTTTAATATATGATTGGCAATGGTGTTTGCTTTTGATTATTCAAATTAATAATATTATTGACAATAAATTAGCTAAAAGTTACTAAGCAAAGCTGTTAAGAACAAGGTTTTTTCTTACTTTGTCATGAAAACACATGTACAGATTTCATATAAGCACACACAATTTAATTAGAGCAAGAATCTACAATAACCATAATAATAACTGTTTAATTTTAGTTATAATTACTGCACATAATATATCTCTGGACTTTTTTTTTTTTTTAATATTAAACAGCAAGAATTTACAACAAAACCTGAAGAATTCACTAGTCAAGAAGAACTGTTGGGTTATTTGGTGAGTGTTAAATCTTACCTTGCAATGTAATTTTTGAAAAAACAAATTCACAGAATTACTAAGTTTAAAATGCATCAAGTAACATGAAAGCCAAAAAGTAGGCAGTCTGCTAATCTAGTAACATATTTTGTCAGAAGGTAGGATTCAGAATAAAATTAATATCACTGAATTTATAATGTATCTATTCATTTGAAAGTTTCTAGACAGGGTTTTTGCCAAAATACTCGTTTACTGTCAGAGGAATGACTTGCATTGAAAATTAATGCATTTTTCTCAACCATAGCTTAACTCCACTCCTGAACTGCATGCTTAAGTAAAATGACCTCCCCCCCGCCTCCTTTCTTTTGTAATTGGTCTATCATTTTCAAATGAGGAATTTGGAAAGACGTAATTCAATAATGGAAGGAAGGAGAATGAAGAAAAATATCTGAGATATGCAGAAAGGAAAGAAGCAATTTTTAAGAAATAAAATACAAGTTGTATACTTGAACAACACCAAAAAAACCCAACCCCAAAACCATAAACTAAAAAAAGCTACCTATTCGCTTCATAAAGTAAGTGGCAGAACACCTGAGTTCTGTTCAGTTGTTGAAAATATGTATTATGTATACATTTACAATCAATAACATAGAGAAATGGTTTATTAAAAATGGTTTATTAAAAGCATCAGTGACAAACTGTACAAAAATCTTTATTGATAGTTGCTGTGACTCAGCTACTGCATGGTAATTTAAGCACTATTGACTATTATAAAATCTTTTTTCCCCTTTCACTATTTGCTAATAAAACTTGAATTTGTTTTGAGGCACCCTCTTGCTTAGTATGATTGTCCTCCAAGAACAACTGGAACAATGTTAGGTTTTGGAAAGTTTGAAAATTGTTTCATATTATCATCTACAGTCATTTTTTTAAAAAGCTACATTATGAGTTTCTATTGTTGTTGGATTCAAAAGGTTTCTTATGTAGTGGAAAGTAATTTTACAAGTATCTTTTTTTGACTTGCTGTTTGTATCATGGAATAATTCCAGTTGTTCAATAATTATCCATACTGTATACTTTTTTTTTAATTGTGAAAATCAGTATGCTCAGCTTTGTCATTAAAATAATTATTTCTTTTATTACCTGATAGCAGAGATATCCTTGCCCAAGTTTAATCTTCTTTTTCCACCTGGTTTTTGACAAAATCTTCTTTAAATATAACCTGTGCAAACGAGGAGAGATAAATACTGTTAGTGTTAAAAATACAGTATAATCCCTGTTATGCTGTCACATATGAACTTAATGCTAGTTTTTTATTAATTTTTGCATTGTCTGGAGTGTTTAAAGGTGTTTGTTTCTAATCCAGAAGACTGAATTGTTAGAATGGACCTGCAGTTCTGTTACACTGTGCCCAGTGGAAGTGTTTTCAGCAGAGCTTTATTAGCATAGACCAGAGGATGATGTATGTAGCACCTCCTGTGAGAGAAGTTGGCACTAGAACTTGCTCCCCTACTAGAGCTTCAGAGTTTCAAAGACTGCTTTTTCCTTAGGCGTTTTGGGAAGAAGAAGGTTAGCATAAGGCAAGGCAGCATATATCTTTAAATTCAGTAGAGTTCTGGCTTTTTGCTACTTTCTAGAGAAATGGGTTATGACTATATTGCCTCAGGGAAGTTGTACACATTCATTTGTATGCAGGCATCTTGGGAAGAGATCAAAATACTTAAGGAAAAGCATTTTCCTGTATGTATTTCCAGGCATATTCTTGGGTTGTGCCTGTTCAAAGATTTGTGTCGGGTAGCTGCAGCTTCCTTCTGTTAGCATCCTCTTCCATTCTGCCTCCCCACCCCCAATTTATGGGATTAAAAGTAAAAACTGTATTTGCTTTGTAACTTCAGCCATGTCTGACAGGACAGAGACATAAAAAATGAGGTTCCTGCAGGTTTTGTTTATACATGGTGATATTTTAATCTTCCAGAGGGAAAAATTTTATGTTGTGTGTTGTTTTGCTTCTTTCCTAGCAAAATTTTGAGATACTGAATGAAGATGATGCTTCATTTATCCTAAAAGTTACACAGACTCTTACACGTGCACTGGTGGAATATCGTCAGCAGGCTGCATCAAACAAAGTAATGTGGATTTTGTTTTGGTTTTGTTCTACAAATCTGTAGATTGCTGTGATTATGCATTTTTATTATTACAGGTAGTTTAATTAGACAAAATTGCTGTGGAGACTGTATTGTAAGTTTCGCCCATTAAATAGTTGAATTTTTGAAGTGATGATAGGATAAACTTACAGCTTTGCTGTTGAGGAGTCTTAATACTTTCTGTTCAAAGGTGTGTGTTTGTTTGTTTGTTTGTTTAAACAGAAGCCCCAAATCATCTTGTCTCTTATTTCCTATGCTTTTTCTTACATCTAATTTTTTCTGCTATTTTTGCCCCTTTTCAATTCTAATTTAAGCTTTTCTTATCTCTGCTGACCTTCCTGACACTCTTGTTCTGTATCCCATTTCCATTCCCAGCCTTCATTTCATTCACTATGTAATCAAGCATTATTGACATCAATTTTCTTTCTTATATAACTTTTGGTCCTACTCTTCGGACTGTTCCCCTTGAGGTATCTTTCTTCCTCCGGTATTAGAGACCCAGTTTTTCCCCTCTCTGCTATTAGTTTTGACTGACTTGTCTTTACATAGGCATAGTATGGAGGTGTTTTGAGTGCTTCTTTGAGGCTGCTGTGGTTGCCGCTTGTGTTCCCTGTATCTCCAGCTTACATTCCATTATACCATAATCTCCACAGTTTCCACACTTGGAATGACTTTTTGTTCATTCCCTCATTGTCAACAGGGATAGTAGGAACTTTACTCTTGTTGGTGATCCATTCAACATCTTTGCCATAGGAAACATTATTCCTTATCCCTCCCGGTGTTTCCTGCAGAATTGTCAGTGTTGAACAGACTTGTCATTCACCACAGCAGCTACTTCTACTACTACAGCTACTTAACTAATTTTTTATTTAAAGGGTGAGCTTATGTGGAAAATGCCAAATGAGGGTCAGTACCAGCCAACAAGCTGGAGAGAATCACAGAGGTGACACTTCAAGAAAAAAAGTTTTGTTTTGTTTTTTCCTTTGTTTTCAAAAGCCTTTCTTAATTCAGGACTTCATTATAAATTTTACCTTTGTTCCTCATATTCCATCTTCCCTCTATTGCTTGCTTTCTGCCCCAAAGGCAGTACTTCTCCATGAAAAATTCCATGCCTATAGTTCTCATTATTTACTGCTTTTTACTTCCTCATTAAGCTTACTTTCACCTTATTCCTGCTGTTTTTTCCATATAGGATTTTGTTGTCTTATCCATATGGAAAGAGGGCAAAATCCAACATGTTACAAAACAAGTTCTAACTGAAGTAATTTCTAACCTACTAGTTGTATAAAAATAAAATGTCTTCCCACATTAGGGTTTTTTAGTATTCTAAACTGTGATCTTTCAACTGGTAATTTTTTAAACTAAATCTTTTATACTGAGTGTAAAATGCTTCCTTTTTAGAATGGACAAGTTGAGAATCAGGCTCTTAAGTATCACTTCTTGGCCTCATACAGTGCTTTTTCAGATGTAGAGAGATACTGTGAACAGTGTATACATATATAGAAGTTCATTACCAGCTGCATGATTTTCGAAGAAATACTTGATTTTTCAGATTTGGTAACAGAAATACTGGTCTTTTATTTGGTTTGTGATAACTAAAAACGTAGTAGTTCATAATTTCAAGAGGTTGTCTTTATGAAATTCTGAACACAACATTTTTCAAACTCGTAGGACGTCTTAGATACCGAATATAATGGAGAAGCAGCACTGGAATATTCCACAGAACAATCTGACCTGACTTCAGCAGATATTAGTGACTCTGATACTGGTAATGTTAGCTTTGCAATCTTGAATGTGCTTTAATCTTAACACTGAACCATCCATAAATTTTAGTAAGCCTTTTTTTCCTGCTTCTCTAAAAGCAGAGCTTAAGAGCAGAAAAAAGCCAGGGGCAAGTAGCATAAATTAATAGTTTTGGTTTTTTTTTTTTTCCATCCTCTCTAAATGTTAGAAAGGGCAGACTATTCAAAAACATTCACCCTACTTAACAGTGGGATTTGGGGAGAAATTGAATTAGTATCAACTCTGACTTTCCTCTGTCCAGAGGCAACTGTTTCTAAGGAGGCTTTCAAAGTTTAACTCCAGCTTCCTGCGCCCTGCCCCTCCACTTTCACTTTTTGGTGGAGAAGAGGCTTAGTTCAGGTCTAGTCCAATCAAGATGTTAATGGAAACAAAATTATGTTGTATAAGATTGATAATTCTGTTTAATACCCAAATGTTGCAGCTGCTTGTCCTCAGTGCTTCTGATTAATTTTTTCAAAGAATCTTGGATTACTTTGAGGTCATTTCCTTCTTGATATAAACAAATGGTTATTTTTCTCAAGCATAGGAAGTATAATCATATGCTTGGAGAGTGAAAATACCCAGAATACCAGTGAAGCTATTTTGTATGATTATTTTTTTTTCTGTGCGGTGTCAATTTTCTTTGTTTCTAGGAAGTTTAGCTTTTGAAAACCTCAATCAATACACTGCTAATAACAAAAATTGCAATGACATAAAATATATAAGACTTGGAACTTCTGGTTCCTTTTTGTAATAATGGAAATAGCTTTCACCCACCTTCCCACCCTTGTTTCTCCAGCATTTTCTGTAAATGGAAAGCATTCTGACTCTCACTTGTATGAAAATGTAGCAAAGTCAGATGTGAACCTTACCAGCAATGCTGCTGTGCCAGACCGGAAATGCTTGTTTTGAAAAGCTCTATTTAGAGAATAAGTAATGAAGACTCTTCAGAATCTTCTGTTACTGAAAAACAGTATTTCTCTTCTTTAAGACTATTCAAGCAGCCGATCAGCTAAGCAGTCCTTATCAGTAAATGAAGACGATGAATGCCAAAACTTTTCAACTGGCTCTTCGGAAACAGCATATGAGAACAACATCACTACTGAATTTTTGAACAGCGTAAGAAATATGAATGTTGAGGAAGTTACTGCTACTCTACACAAAATAGCAGCAGCAAATCCAGCTTTTAGAGGTAATTCACCTATACCTGCTTACAAACACACATGTATAAAAATATACATAACACAATTTTGTTAGCTCTGTGAAATATTAAGGACCACATGGGTCAAAGAACTTTGAAGTATTAAGGAGGGCTGAAGAGACTTTTTTTTTTTTTTCCTTCCCTTTAACTTTTCCAGGATCCAGTTTAGGAATAGTAATTAAAAATGGCTGCCTTCCTATGAAGGTGTTAATAATTGCTGAATTTCTTTTAAAATTCTCTTCTCAGTTGGGCATAGTAACATTTACATGGTGAGAGATAGTAAACTAAAATCAAGCATATTGTTATGAGAAAAAAGCAGAAACTTTTGTCTGTGATATAACTGGTGAAACACTGGTTTTGGGAATGCCAACAGCAAAGAAATTTCTACTTATTGATTCCTGAAGGAATGGTACTTGCACAGTAACATAGAAATAATAATGAATCAGACACAAGTAGTCTTTCTTTTGCTTACAAGTTTCTAAGAAGTTTCAGCTACTAAACCTTACCACATCTTCAGTCAACTGCTGCCCTTTCTTCAGAAGCTTCCTGTGTACATTTCTAAGCTTCTCAGAGTGTGTTTAGGATCATCAGGGTAAAAAAAGAACACTGAAGATGAGTACATTGTAGAGAAGCTTAAGATATTCTTTGCCTGAGTGCTCACTGTGGAAGAAACTAGGGAGACTGCAATCTGTGCCATAACCTCTGCTTGGGCATGTGCGTGTGCACAACTGTGCTGGTTTTGACTGGGATAGTGTTAATTTTCTTCACAGTAGCTAGTACAGCTAGTTTGGATTTGTGCTGAAAACAGTGTTGATAATGCAGGGATGTTTCAGTTATTGCCAAGCAGTACTTACTGTCCTGTACCTGGCAAGCAGCTAAACACCACACAGCTGCTTGGTCACTCCTCCACCCTCAGTGGGATGGAGGTGAGAATTGGGGGGGGGGGGGAGTAAAATTCATGGGTTGAGATAAAGACAGTTTAATAGGACAGAAAAAGAAGGGGGGAGGAAATCATCATAATAATAATAATAATAACAATAATAATAATAGTAATAATAATATTAAAGAATTAGGATATACAAAACAAGTGATGCACAATGCAAATTGCTCATCACCCACCACCTGATGCCCAGCCAAGTTCCTGAGCAGTGGCCCCCAGCCAGCTTTCCCCCTAGTTTATAAGCTGAGCATGACATCATATGGTATGGAATAGCCCTTTGGCCAGTTTGGGTCAGCTGTCCTGGCTGTGTCTCCCCCCAGCTTCTTGTGCCCCATAGCCTACTCTCTGGTGGGGTGGTGTGAGAAGCTGAAAAGTCCTTGACTTAGTGTAAGCACTGCTTAGTAACAACTAAAAGATCAGTGTGTTATCAACATTATTCTCATCCTAAATCCAAAACACAGCACTATACCAGCTACTAGGAAAGGAATTAGCTCTATTCCAGCCAAAATCAGGACAACAACTCAGCAGACTATCTGTTTGGAATGGAAGTTCTGGAACAAATTGACAACATAAAACCACAAAAGTAGCAAACTGTTATAACTCTTCCATGAATATCACCTGGTCCTAGGGACCTCCAGGAAAAAAAATGGTTAAGTTACTGATGGTAGTGTTTTCTTCCATAAAGCTTCCTTTGGAACCTGAAAATTTGGGGGTGGCAAATACGGTTCTCTTTTATGTATATTTCTCTTTTTTTCAAGGTTTTGTTGTGTGTTGAACACAGCTGCTTGCTCCTTGTCCCTTACTCCCCCACACACAGCCAGGGAAGAGGATAGAAAGAACAAAAGTGAGAAAACTCATGGGTCATGATAATGATAGTTTAATAAGTGAAGGGAAAGAGCAGGGGGAGGGGAACAAGTGATGCAAAGACAATTGCTCAGCACTTCCCGCAAGCAGACTGATGCCCAGTCTCTGAGCAACAGCCACCTTGGAAGCTGAAGCCAACCTCACCTCCTTGCCTCCCCAGTTTTTATTGCTGAGCATGATGTATCCCTGTGGCCAGTTTGGGTTAGTTGTCCCAGCTGTGTCCCCTACCAGTCTTTTTCCCATTCCCAGCCTAATTACTGTGGGGGTGCAGAGTGGGAAGGAGAGAAAGCCTTGACACTGTGCAAGCACCCTTTGGCAACAGGCAAAACACTGGTGTGTTATCAACACTGTTTTGGCCACAAATCCAAAACACAGCATCATACAGGCTGCTGTGAAGAAAGTTATACATCCCAGCCAAAACCAGTACAGGGTTCCAGGTAATCATTCAAACTGCCAGCTTCTATTGAACAGGTGAACAGAAACTGTTTAGAAAAACAAGGTAGGAATTAGTGGACACCTGGAAAAATACGATCTGCTTAGAGTGGTTGGTGGGAAATGAATATGGCTTTTGTGATAAGAAAACATTCCTTACAGACTTTCTGGAGTTGTTTGAAAGGGGTCAGCAAAGGAGTCAGATAAAGGTTATCCAGTTCATTAGTCTGTTTGGAATTCCAAGAAGCTTTTGATAGGTACTCTAATCAGAGGCTTTTAAGGGAACTAACTGGCTGTGGGAAAAGAGGGAAATCTGCATTGTTTAAATAATAAACAGATAGCAAATGGGCAATTACTTTTTACAATGAAAAGAGGTTCCAGTAGAGAACTGTGGGCCTCTGCTTAAGACCTGTGCTGTTTAGTATCTTCACAAATGACCTGGAAAAAGGGATGAGTATCTGGATGACAAAATTTTGTCAAATTTGAAAGTTAAATGTGTTGGTTGACTGACAAATTTCAAAAGCTCCTCATCAGATCAGTGGAAATACCAACTTATCAGTCAGGAGAATATGTTGAATACAAGGAGTTAAGGAAAGAATGGAAATAAAGATGGGAGTCATCATTTTGCTATTGCATAAACTCATGCTTTGCATGTATCTGGCATAGGGCATATATTTCTGTTTCCCTTATTTCAGATAAAAGACTTCATTGCGGCAAAAGGTTTAGAGAAGGCAGCAAAATATGGAATTATCTTCTATATAAGAAGCAACAGAAAGCTAGGACTTTTTTTGGCCTGGAAAAGAGATGACTGAGCTATTGTGACAGAGATTAGTAAAATCATGAGTGGATGGAGATGACAGACAGGATTCTATTATTTTCTATCTCTTTTGATCCATAAACTTGGAGTAGTGTGGGACTCCAACTTCAAAATGGACAAAAAGAGATGGTTCTTTATGCAGTAGTAGGTGGATGATCTATGGAACTCCTAGCAAAAGAATAACGTGGATACAAAAATATTACGTGTCCTTGTCTTCACTGTCTGGGCCAGACTGGCCAAGTGTTTGGAAGAGGACTACTGAAAAGTTTGCCGTATTGGACTTGGAAAGTTTTCTGAGCTGAAGATGATCTGAGATAGGGAGAAGATAGTATTCCCACACCCTACCAAGCATCAGGCACACTTGCCCTGCTCTTACTCTTCCCTTAGCATCTGGTTACCAGTGCTGAATGTTTGTTATTGCCACTTAAGCAGTCCCTGTGTTTCTTCTACTTCTCCTCTCCCTCTCCTGAAGTCATGGGTGTTAGTTTCATCGAAGCAACAGGGCCTTCTTGCTTCTGTTCAGAAGAGGTCACTTTGACTTATTGTTACAGTGATAAAATCAAGCACTTCTGGTCATGCTTTCCTGATTATCAGCTGCAGATCTTTCCAAGCCAGAGAAAGAGTAGAGGGGCAAGACAGACCCTTTAACTGAACCAGTACAGCTGTTCATAGCAATATATAGTTATAGTTTCCAGGCACACTCTGGTAACTGTTAACAGTTATGGTATGCTTCGTTTAATAAGAAGAGATCCAAACTCCTGTCAGCATCTAAATGTTTCAGTATAACTTGTGCTTTTAAATGCACTTTATCATAAAACCACTTATTTTCTGGTTTTGTTTGTTTGTTTGCCTTTAACTAAGGAATTGATATTCCGAATGTTATAAGGATCCTGACTGAAAGTGGAACTCTGAGAAGACCAAGCAACAGCAGCACGCAGTGACATCGTAGTTAATAGAGTTAATATAGCAATGTTTACTTTCTGTAAGTTTGTTGTTTTACTTAATATGAACTCAGTGTACCTGATTTTGCTATGTTCAAATTTTGTACGGTGTTATTTTAATTAAATTAATAACTTGGTTTTGAGATTCTTGTTATTTATTTCTCCATATAGCTGAAATTTCTGTATTGTGGAAAGGTTGTAAAGCTCATGTTCTTTCTTTCCATGTTGAAACATACTTTTAAAACAGGTAGCTGTTGTTTTTCTCAATATCATTAAATACCATACATTGACAGTCTGATCTTTTCTTATTGCTGGTTCTTTTACAAAGAGTTATCAGCAGAATGAACTACTGCAGTCAGCAGTACAAATTAAGCCTACAACAAATAACCTGGAAGTTACTCCCTGTGGCTGCTGGGCCTGACTCAAAAGCTTTTGTAATGAAAAATCCTCTCCCATATAAGGATTATGAATAGGTCTCCGCATATTTTTTTACAATAAAGATTAAAAATAATAGTAAAAAATCAGTGCTGTCAGTCTAGTTCTGAGTTGAGAAATACTTGGATTATAGCCCATTTAGGGAGCCTAGATAATTGGAAGCTTTAGCAAAGTCAGCAGAGGTTGGCTATGCTTGCAAATTCAGGGATACGTCCTAAGAGACCTAAGCGGACTATGGTTAAGAGGCACTGATGTGGTAGCAAAAGTATCTTTTGTCTTCTCTTATTGCACCGGTATGAGAATGAAATGAAACCTGGCTTGTACTGTCCTTCAGTTCAGGCTCTTTTAACATGAACTTTTTTCCAACAAAAGCAGTAGTGGTTTTGACTGAATGTAAAGGTCTATACATTAATGACGACTACATTTGTGGGATGATGAAAAATGTTTGGGATGGTTACAAATTAGTGTGTTTGGGAAAAAAAAAAATTAAAATTAAATTGTGTAATTAAAATTTGCTTCCTGCTTGTGAAGTTGGGTAGCATTCAGTGGTTCTAATTAAAGCGCTTCAGCTTTGCAGCCAAATGCTGGTATGATATAGACATGCTGGGGCCAGATGGTAAATGAACCCTGTAATGTTAACTTACATTTTTGGGGGAGATCTGGATGGAAATGAGAATCCTCATCCTGATGGTTTCACATCTTCATATCATGGAATTCAAGATGCCATAAAAATAAGGTAACAAAGAAAGCAGCATTGGTTAGTTTTGTTCTATGAACAGACACGGGAATGAAATCAGTTCACCAAAAAGTAAAGAAATTAAAACACAAAACGCTGCTTTAAGGACATTGTGAAGAATTTCTAGAATGCCTCTAAATATGTTCTTGTCAGAAGCAGAGGTGGAACCAGAGCTCTTAGAGCTCATTTACTCTACAATAGGGACAATGTTAATGCTTGCTTTATGAACTTGGTCAGTAAAAACATCTTTTACTTGAGACAAAATTCTGAATTCTGTTCCCGTAATGCAGAAAATAAAAATAGAAACATCTTTTTTTGTTTGTTTGTTTTCAAAGGGCAGAACATTCTATTAATTAAAATAATAAAATCAGAATGTTCAGCTGTTGTAAATGGCCATCTCTGGGACAGCTTCTTTTTCCTCTTACTGTGGAACCACTCCTAGTGGAAATAAATTTAAAGTTAAGTTGAAATGACTTGGATTTGAGTATTTTTTTTCGCTTGGGTGCAGGAGGAGCATGCTGGAAATGGAAAGACCTCAGTCTATGGCACACCGATATAAAATAGTTTGAATGATATGCTGCAGTGTTGCTGTACTTCTCAAGGACAGCTGAGAAAACTGAACTGCTCAAAAATCATATGAGTGTATGCTTCTGGAAATGTTTTCTGAAAACGTAGTCTCACACAGTCTATTCAGTTGTACAATTATCCCCCCTTCCCCTTTTATAGAGGCTGCAAAAGAATGATATTATTTTGTTCTTGTATCCGCCTGTATTTTGTGATGGCCTGGTATATTCTTATCCCAATGGAAAACTATTTTTGCTCCAAAACAGTTTTTAAAGATAATGTTTTACTTGTGCCAGAATTGCAAAGTAAGGAAGGCGTTCTCTTTACTAATGACGCTTAAAGGATGATGCTGTATGCATTTGATAATACAGTTTGTTTCTCACAGCAACAGCAAGGCAGACAGCTGGGGTTATTGGAGAATTAATAGAATTAAAACTTATGCAACAGCAAGAGAAATTAAACCAAGAGAAAATTTATTTTTCTTTTACCTTTACCTTAGTTTTATACATTTTACTCGGAGACCGTAGAGCTTCAGGGAAGTGATTTTTAACAAACATGGAGAACTTCTCTTATAAGGCAGAAAGCGGAAAGGAGAAGGGTATTCACAGGTAGAATTGATAGGAGATGAAAAGTTTTTGAGCGTGCGACAGAAGACTTACTGTCTGCTGTAAATAAATCACGGTCTCATTATCATAAATAAATAGATCTGTGTTCTAGGCAGGTACGGAACCATCCTCCTCCGGTGTTGCTGCTCCCTGCATCTTCTGGGGTTGCGCTCTGTCCTCCTGACTTAGGAACTCGCTGCCCCTTTCGAAGCAGCAAGTCTGGGCATCGGTGCGCAAAACGACACAGCCTGCCCGGTGGTTTGATGCCGTATGGGAAACCTGGAACGCCAACGCTGACTCTGCGTTGCCTCCACCGAAATCCTTCTCTCTTCCGAGTGTTTTCCACCTCTAGAAACGTACATCTTGGTATCTGTTACTCCTAACGCACTCTCCTTACCTCCCGTAGCCCATCCCCACAACCGCACTCAAGAGCACACCCCGCTGTGGTGATACCAAAAAGCCGGTCAAAGAAACTCTCAAAGACTCGTTTTGGAGTTTTAGAAAGCAGGCATTTTTTATTGCAGCTCTGGATGCATGGGGGATAGTTCCACCCAGTGTGCATACCACAGCTTTAGCACTAACAGGTTATATAGAATAACATAATTGCATGTTAATCAGATTAGTATACATATACATAAAAATAATTGCAACTGATTATCTTAATACTGCCTACATCCGATCATGTGCAATGAAGGGTCCATTTGAGTCGAAGGGCTGCTTTTGCGACCACCGACCCATTTGAAGTTCTTGCTGGCTGTCCTTGAAGCCTTTATTCTTGTCCTTGTTCTTTGATCTTGAAGCTTAACGCAGCTTCGATCACAAGTTTCAACATCGTTCTCATCGAGTGTACAGGAACATCTAGTCATAAGAGCAAAGAACTGCAAAACTTCTGAGTAACTACCTCTACTAGTTAATCGCTTGGCTATACTTTCGTCTGTGGTTTCAATCATAGCGTTAGTATAAGATTTCTCGTAAGTATTTACCAAATCTCACTTTTACAGCCACCTAGCAGCAAACCAGTTTCCACGGCCGGCACCAAATATTAAAACCCTCAAAATATTTAGACATACCGTACAGAATGGATGGAAATATGCTATCAGCGGGGAGGGACAGAGAAAAGAAAACTTCGCCCTCATCCTCTCCTCCCCGCCAGCCCGGAGCCCACCCCCTCGCACCCACTCACCGCCGCCGCTGTAGGTGGCGCCAGCGCCCCGCGGCCCCGGGCGGAGCGGGAAGGAAGGGCGCTCCTTCCCGCCCGCAGCCGCTCACGTGGGCGGCCGGTTTCCGGGCAGGTTCTCGGGGGGCGGAAGGGGGCTCGCGCTGCCGCGTGGTTGGTGAGTGGACGGCGCGCGGGGAAAGGGGGGGGGGCTCGGCGGCGCTGTTGCCGCGCGGGAAGAGGAAGAGGAGGAGGAAGAAGAAGAGGAAGAGGGAGGAGGAGGAGCAGGCGGTAGCGCCCGGCCCGACCCGGCCTGGCCCTGCCCTGCGCTAATCGGCCGCCTTTTGTGTGACCCACCCCCTTTCCCTCACGCTCCTGCGCAGGGCGGCGGGAAAGCCTGAGCACAGCCGCGGGCGTGCCGGTCCCGGCTCAAGCGGCGGGCCCCGCTCCCCCCCACGCCCCGGGCCTCCTCGTCCTCCGTCCTCCTCCTCCGCCGCCCCCCGCCTTGCCTCCCCCGAGGGTGCTTCCCTCAGCCGCTGGAGGAGCCCCGGCTCTTCCCCCGACGCGGCTGCGGCGGCTCCCGGCAGCCGAACTTGGCGGCCTCCCCGCCGGCAGCGGGCGGGAACTAACGCGCTTTATTTAAACGCCTCGTAGAGAGGAAGAGCGGCTGGGAGAGAAGCGGTTCGTCGGGAACTAAGCCGAAAGATGTCCCGGGACGGTGAGGAAGGTTGTTTAACGGCCTAGAGCGGCGGGAGGAGGAGCCGCCGCCGCCTCCTCCGCTTCAGCAGCGCTTCGGCTCTGGGGTATGGCGTTTGCGGGGGTTGGGTTGGGTTGTGTGGTGACGGGGACAGGCTGGCCAGCGCCGGAGCCTCAGGAAGTTAATTGCGATTTAAGTACTTGCTCCCAACCCCTTGGTTGGGAGAGAACTCGCCCAGGTGGAAATCCTCTGCGGGATGAGAAGTGTTAGGGCAAGTACCCGGCCTGTCTGGTTTATCAGGATTTTCCCGATTGCTTGAGCTTGTAAATGTGCTGGTAGCAAGATTCCCTGAGGATACTTGCCTCAGAGCTGCAGTAAGGGAGTAAATTACAGGTGGAACCGCCGCTCCTTCTGGTTCCCGCCTGTTTCCCTAAGCCTGAGGCAAGGATGGCCGAGTGACAACTGAAGCAGCTTCTGAAAAGCGCTGCGGACAGCTTCATGTTAAAGGAAGCTGGCATTGATTCGAGGTTATTTTAATGCTCTGGATTGTAAAACTATATCAGCGCATAAACTGTTAGGTGCGCTTAGCTCTGTCCTGTTGGAGGAGGGCCGACTGAAAATACAGTTGAAGTCGAAAGGCAAACAGCTGCTTCAGCAGGAAGTTTTATTATAATCTTTACATAACTTCATAAGCTGTATACAGTTTTGTTTAATGTCTTATGACATAGAGACTGTGGTGTTTGTTTTCACGGCTTTGGTTTTGTAAGCCTTTTATCTCTCGTTTAGCGTGGTACCTATGAATTGGAAATGCATATGTTTAGATTTCCAATAAACTATTTCCAAAATATGCAGTGCAAGGTAAACTGTGCTGCTTTGTTTTAGTAGGAGAAAGCATATTTTATAAGACTCCTCCTTTAAAAGAACTTAATTGACTTTGTTCAGGTGTGTGTGTACCTGTATCGTAAAGTTTCTAAGGCTAATTGGAAGCCAAACATTTTGCCTTATGGAGTGAGCCTTCCTAAATATCTCCATTAAAGCAAGCTTTGTAAGTAGAAATAGCATTCCTGTCAAAAGCTTCTAGCTATTTCTGTAAGTCTTGCAATCAAGTAGTGAAAAACTTGTTGTAATTTTTTCCTAAAAGATGCATATGGTAAAAATCAAAAGCTTATAAGACCACAGTTGTTATAGTTGGACACTAAAGGACCTTTTTATTTTGGCACCAAACCCCAAGTTCTTTAAAGCCTTTTCAGTTGATAGGTTACTTATGCTAAATTTATACTTCAGTTAAAGTGGTCTTGCATATAGCTGTTTTAAGCTAGCATGGGAAAAGCAGAAATTAAGTTGTAGTCCAATATTTGTATAATCAGTTGTTTAAATTGTTTTAAAAGACTAGAAAATGACAGTTGGGTTTAAAACTTTCTTTAGTGATTATCTTGATGATGTGCATGTCAAATACTGTGATACAGCACAAATTTACAGTTTGAAGTTTGCTGGGAAAATATCAGCTGTCGAATTCCATTTCCTAGAGTGAATGATGATCATGTCCACCATAAAAGAATCATGGTTTGGATATTTTATTTAGAAATCTATTTATAGGTTTAGTCAGCTGTATTTTTTTCTTTTTTTTTTTAGTTAGTTTGGTCTTTAAAATTTGAACGTTGTGTTTGCAACTTTTTTGTATAGTTCAGATTTTAAGAATGTGTAAAACCTAGTTACTCAAAGTGTAGTCTGAAAGAGAGCAGAAACAAAAAGTTTATGTACCTGACAGCATGGACTTTATACTGTGTACAGTGAGGTCTGGAAGTATTCAGATTTCCAGCTCTGTGAATACTTGTTATCATTAGAAAGCTGCGAGATGTTAAACCTAACATCATAACGGCTTTGTGCTTGTCTCCCCCTTTTAAACTGTAAGTAATCTCTGCAACCACTTCTAGGAGTCGTCAGACCATGGATTCATGGTCTTAATTAACAGAAATCTAGGCACAATTTGTATGTGATGTTGAGTGTTATGACATCAGCTTCTGGAGTTTTGTTAAGAATTAATTTAGAAGTATGGAGATCAAGGGAAGGAAGATTAAATAAAGGAACTTGAGGTGTAGTGTTTGTTGGGGGTTTTTGGTGGTTTGGGTTTTTTGCCTTTTTTTTTCTTAAGTCTGGTAGAATTAAGAGTACTTTTATCCGTACTGATACGTCAAAGCCAAAAGGTCATTCAGAAATTGAAGTGTGGGGTTTGATTTGTTTTGGTTATTGTACATCTAGTATGTCTGTACTACTTCTCATACTACCTTATAGCTACTCATACTACCTTATTTCTTATGCCTTTATTTAATATGACTTAGTTTTTCAGTCTCTTTTTACTCTATGTGTGCCCATTTAACACCCCCCCCCGAGCTTCTTTCTAGTTACTGGTTTTAAATGCACAGACTGGACTTTTCAGTGTGTAGTGGAAGTTTTCTTAGACTCTTCTATACTGCTGTTATCAGTGATGGCCTGATTAAAACCTGTGATTTTTACCTGTGCAGACTATGCTATTAATGATTGAGTTGGTAAACAACAGACAAATTAAATGAAACAGTTCACCGAGCTCCTTCGGCTTGGCAAGAGTCAACTATGTAAAAAGTTGCTTTATTGGCAGGAACTTTTTAAAACAAAACCAACAACTGAATCAGATAAAGCAGTGGAAGATGCAGATACTTAAGTGATCTTTTTCAGTAAAGTAGTTCCCAGAGCAAAGATAACTAAAGGAGCAGCAGAATGTTCTCTGGACACTAGAAGAACAGCTGTACTGAATCAGTCTGCATGTCTGTTTAGCCTAGCATCTTGTCTCAGGAGCAGACACCAGTTTATGCATTGGAAAAAGCATAAAATCAGTAGTCTTCATTAGGAAGCTGCTGCTCTTTGGTGGGGAAAAAATATTTGTTTGTAGTGTATTTAATCAAATTAAAATTCTGAATATCTTTTTTCAGAGAATCAGAATGACTAAGAAAAGGAAACATCAAGAAGATTTCCAGAAAGTGAAATTAAAAGTTGGGAAAAAAAAGCCTAAACTAGAGAATGCAACTGATACTACATTCAAAACAAAGGCCATACAGATTCCTGAGCAGCTTAAAGAAGATGGAGTGCTTCCTACGCAAAATAGAAAACTTAACATAAAGGTATACTGTGTCATTACATTCTGAAACGACAGAAAATTACAGGTCATTTATCTAGGTTTACTATGTTTACTAGAGTTCAGGAAAAAATATTTTAAAAAAAATTAGAAAACCCCAGCAGAGTATCTGAATACAGCCTCTTTGTCCTTGACAATAAGCTGACCCATGAATTTAATACTCCAATTGCTGGACCAGCATATAGCCCAAGGGAAAGGTTCTCAGCAGTGCAAAAACTCAAGTTGCACACTGATCTAAGTATCTAGGATTAACGTTTGGTTTTTGAAAGCCTTTTGTAACTTAAGGACGGGGTTTTAAAAAGTAGACTTCCTGAGATGATGTTTTTAAAAAATCTTGCATTTCTTTGGGTGGTGGTTCTGC